GAATTCATAATATCATGGACTGAGGTACGGGCGATTAGAAGTTTTTCCCTTTAGGCAGTTATAATCGTTATTAAAATCGTTATCATCAGCACATTACCGATATATATTTTCTCGCACCGTTGAAAATTACATCACCGAGGAGCTTTCGTCGCAACACCTGATACATTTTGTGTTGGTCATTTATCATGTGTTTGTTTGGGATAAGCTGAGGACAGTTTACGATATAAACTCTCAAAAACTAATGGTTTTAAGTAACCAGTCACTTGGATCAAGACGTTTAACATAATGTAAATTCTTTGTTTGACTCGTTGACAAAGTGTGGCATAATTTAATGTAATGTAAACTCTTTGTGTGAATCGTTGATAAATTGTGGTAATTTGACTCGTTGACAAAGTGTGGCATAATTTAACGTAATGTAAACTCTTTGTGTGAATCGTTGATAAAGTGTGGCATAATTTAACATAATGTGAATTCTTCATTTAAATCGTTGATAAAGTGTGGCATAATTTAACATCAGGCAAATTCTTTGTTCTGGCAGGGGTCATGTTGAAAGAGTATTTTAAACCGAGGACATGTTTGAACTGTAAAATCTCGTCAAAAAATTAGCGTGCATTTTATCCCTTGGATTTAGACCATTATTTGCACAACCCCACAGCATTGATCGCATTTCTGAGAAACATATTTTTGACCCATTTTTTTGAACGCCATTTTGAACCTCCAGATTGCCTGCTATGTTTTTTTTGTGTATTTGTTTGGGGGAATGTAAACGATGGCCCACAATGCAGCTGAATAACTTCACTTTTAAAATTTAAGCAATAATAGCTCGAATGGATATAAAATATTAACTCATGGAATTTTGTTAGCTTTGAAATTTTTCACCTCATACAATTTTTTCGATCTAACAATTTTAGCTTCAATAATTTTCTTTGTTGTGTGTGTGTTTCTAACCTCACGTAAATTTTTGTTTGCCCAAGTTTTATTTCACACCAGATCTTTTTAGTATTTATAAATCTTTGCTAGTTTTTATTTTGTAAATATTTCATTGACTAATGTTTCCATCATATAACTTGTTTGCTGTCCAATTTTAATCTCAGATAAGAATTCTTTGCTGTTTCAAATTTCACAAGGGTGAATGGCGAATTTAAATGTTGTTTATTGCTTTTTTTGAAACTTTAACACTTGTTCAGTGGTAGTTTAATGTTAGAGTTGTCGAAATTGAACATTTAAATGAAACTGAGGTTAAATAACACTGAAACACGTAGCGAAAGCGGAGTGTGCGGTTCCTTGTCGAGCTGAAGCTCTTAAATTATCCGGGATTTCCAATCACGACCGTAACAGCTTCTTTCCGCGCGACACGTTTCTTGGTCATAGAGGGGTGCTGGGTGGCATGTGCTTGTCTATTAAATAGAATCACCGTCGCCGCGGAAGAACAGCCACGACCAGGAGCCCCAAACTCCGCTCGTTCCACAACGCCCCCTATGGGTAATGCTGCTGTGTTCTAGAATGAAATTGAGATAATTCGATCACCACACTCTTATAGCGCTCTCGTGCCGCTGCCGCATACAGTTTTTATTAAAATTTTATTCTCCTATTGACTGCCACAATTTAAATCTGCCGCCACACGTCCGTAATAACTTGTGCATTTGCATCCAGTTACTTTAATTCAGATTTTTATTTGTTTTTATTAAATTTGTGATATTCAAATATTTACATTGATTCAGAATATTTAATTTGATTTCATTCGAAGTTTTTTTTCTGTAGTTCAGCACTAACAAGGTCTTCAACGTGCGCAACTTAGTCGCAGTTTTTTCTCTTTATTTTTTTGTCTGTGGAGGAATAAATAATTTTGTGTCCTCCATACATTTGGTGGTATTTAGCGGTACTTTTCCAAACTTAAGGTCCACCATTTGCATTTGAACGCATTCCGCCATTTTTCAAAACGCAACGTAGGGTTCCATTTTTTTAGACGATCACTGCCAAGGCCAATTTTTTTGAATTTTTCGCTGACTTTCAATTTTTTTTCACATGTCAATTGAGGGCAGGTATGGGTGGAGCCTAATCTTTGGCTTTATTTTTTTCTTAATATACATAGCATTCTTTGAACAACACGATGCTCAAAAATATGTTTTTAATTTCTCGTAGAGAAATAAGGATTTTGCAGTTAAGCTCCGCCTTCTTGGCTCACGACGAATAAAAAAATCATCACAATTGAGATAGGGCGGGTGGGCGGGGCTACAGTTTGCCCTTTTTTCTTAGTATGACTTCGATAACAAGAAACAGTGTCTAAAATGGTAAATTTTTTATTTAAAACCAATATGTTTTTTAATGTTTTTTAAGAAAGTGAAACCTTCTTTTTTTTCTGTTACGCTGTGACTAGTACGTTCTATATTGTTTTTACTGAGGTTATCACGAAAAAAAAATTCTACTTAAATCCGCCCTTTAATAATGAATACTGTCCACTTCTGGCCACAGTTTCACAACGCAATCATTTACTCCATTTCCCGCTTGTGTGAATTATTCAATTCTCCCACTGTTCAAAGACATCCTAAATTTGTTTATCCGCATTAAATTGGTAAAGTTTGGCCACGATTTCGCAAGACGAACGCGTCGCTGCCCCAGCTTGCTCGCATAATATAACTTAAAAGCTGTTTTTCCTGGAACAAAAAGTGAAAAATTAGCTGAACGTTGACTATAAAAGCCTTTGAAAGTTATGAAGAAAAATGAAGATTGAGACGTAAATGATACAACAACGTTGGCGGTGTTCGAGCGGCAACTTACCCGTGTAGATAATCTCAAGGGTTTCCACTTCTTGCATCTTGTGAACCGCTTTGTGAACAGTCAAGTTCTGACAGCTTTAAAGCGGAGATGTCTGGAGTAGAGGGTGTTTGTTACCATTGTGTTTCACACATCTGACGTCCGAAAAAGGAATTTTATGGGATTGTTATTTTTTACCGACGTAGTGAGCAGGAAAAAAGATGGACAATTTGCGTCTTTTTTGAAACAGACACCTCTTTTACACCAAGATTGCTGAAATGTAGTGTTTCAGTCTCTCCCAGTTGCTGCGGAATGCGCTGGCCATGGACGTAAAGTTCAGTCGGTGTATTATGAGTTGCATACCTCCATTTAATTAAATTTGTTGCATCGAAAAACTTACTTATTTCTGTAGCGTTTCCCGGTAAATTAAGAACGAAATTCTTGGGTCACTTTTTATTAGTATTTGCGTTTGAGTCAGGACCGGCGCAAGCATTGATTTTTTGAAGCGAGCGCCTCAGGCGTCATTTTTAAATGGGCGTTAAATTCAGCGAAATAAAATACAAAGAAAATATGTTGGAGATTAATTGCGATGTTTTTTGAATCGTTTTTTACTTATTGGCGGTTGCTGCTTGTTCTTAAATAATGTTTTTTCCGTGTGTTTGTCCGCTGGCGGTTTTGTTTGCCAAGTAATATACGAAAGTACGAACCGTTGTGGAATTTTAGCCAGTTTAATTTTTGTAAAGTATAAATCTGGTTTGAAATTTTAGAGTGTGCTTGACTTTCATAATGTATACAGATTTTTTACCTCGACCATACCGAAAAAATTCTAGAATCACGTTTTAGTTTGTTTTAGAAACTACACAACAGGGTTGTTTAAAATTTTGCCTGGGTAATTACAGAGCACCAACCAAAATTTATTTATTCCACTAAAACTTTATTAATAATTAAGTTCGATGAAATAATTTTTTAAACCTGACCTGACCTGATCTAACCTATCCTAAGGTGACGTTTTACCTACACATTTTGTTAATTAGAAATTTTTCCAATTCATGAATTTAATCTTAAAATGATATAAAAAGGAAATGCAATAATCCATTACAAGTAAATTTCCCGTTTCCCCAATCCTCGTTTTTTTATAAATCTATTTCCGCCAATAAAATCCACTAATCTCCCATAAACTAATAATAGACGAATAAACGACACCCAATAATACCCATCATCACCGATAAAACTAATTAAAACTCGAACATATCCCTAATCTCTTCCACTGTGGTCAAGCGCTAATTAACATCCCCTACAAATAGCAATTATTTATAACAATATTACTCGAATCAGACCCAATATAAAATTATCTCCGTTGCACCATTTGCCAATCAATTATCGGCGCAAACAAAACCAGGGCCGGCTCGGCTCGCTCCTCCGAAGCCACAGGTGTTTTTTCTCTTCTGTTATTATAGCGGTGATGATTCATCAAACATTTATCGACACATCACGAGATAGTAGAAGGATTGGATTTCCCGAGTGGCTTCGGTCCTGAATAATGGATGCACAAAGCGAGGTGAATACAACTCTGTATGACAATCCCACTAATTTCGTTCTGAAAACCTCTTAATTCGGGTCTTGTCTGCGGATTTAATTCGCAAACGCGTCTCCAAAATCCGGATAATTGCTCCAAATTGACGGATCATGGTGTGTTTGCTGACATGGTAATATAAGTGGAAAAATGAGCGGGAGGGGGCGGCGGACTAAAAATAGACGCGATTGGCGGTGGCGGCAGCGGTGAAATTTTATTTTTCTGAAGAATTTTAAATAAGGGCGAGATTACAATCATCGTGAGGAAATATGAAATAATTTTGTGTACCATTACGTCCAAGGAATACAATTATAAAAAAAATTGGAGGGGATAAAGGGATTAATTTTAATGCACACGTTTAACGTTTCAGAGCATTCTAGGGTAAAAAATCAAAACGGATTCATAGGCCGCAAGTACAAATAGAATAGTATTATGTATATGGATAATCGTTTTCTCAAAAAATACGTTTACAAAGAAAAATGTTTTTCCCACTTTTGGAAACTTATTTTAAAACGAAATCAAAGGTCGACTGCAGACGGCCCACGGGAATGCGTAAAATCACGTCGAGATTAGAGAGAGCCGAAACAATAACAATAAATCGATAATCTGTAATTCCTTAAGATAAGGATTTCCAGTCTAAAACACATATATAAAGTGTGTGAGATGGGATTTAAAATTTACTTTAGTACGAGTGCACGCTGGAAGTGGTAGGCGGCGTTGGTGCGGTGTTAGTGCAGACATGGAAAACGAAATAAAATATTTTTCTTTGGAAGAAGTGGCAAAAAACGATGGAAAAAACGGAAACAAGACGTGGATTATCGTCAAGGATAATGTGTACGATGTGACTGATTATGTAGACGATGTGAGTATTTTTTTTTTGCAAAATCTGCTATGAATTTAATTTAAATGGTTGAACTTGTTGTAAATAATTTACTGCTTGATGTAACAATGTGGGGAATTACTGAGCCGCTAAATTACATTCAGAGAAAGTATCCACAGTGCACGGGAATTCCCACTTAAGAGTTCATGGTACCGTCGAGGTCGCCCTGATAATTCTACGAATAAATGCAATACTAAATTAGTCTTCACTGATAATACTTTTCGTTGTTATGCCACAAATTTGGAATACTAAAACCTCTAGCAAATTGTTTTCTAAAACAATGCTGCTGCATTTCGCTAACTTAAAGTGCCCATGATTCTTATTTACGGCACGTAGTTTCGATTTACATGTGAATACTGGAGTCCAGATGTCCAGATAAATCACTTGTGCCTCACAACAGCACGATAAATAAATCGGTATTAAAAGTTTCTAACTCTATTATGTATTGTATGTGGGAAGTTTCCGTTTAATTTCCATAATATCAACTTTTATTATCTGCTCACAGTGATAATAAACTGCCTGGAAGCATATACCGTGTGTGGAACATTATTATCGAGGACGATTTCCGAAGTTGATAAATTTTTATTGGGGTTTTACCATGAATCTAAGCAATCGGTAAAATTTCCAGCAGTTTTTTTTTTAATATATATGTATACACAAAACAATGACTGCACGGTGGATTCTTTTGAAGCCGAATCGTAATTGATTTATAGACAAACGTTATTATAGCATTGTGGACGTGATTTATAAGTAGACCATTGTTTGTTTAAAATGTGTAACAAATCTTCAATTGAAGCAAAAGTCAAACCTAATTCAAATTATAAATTTTCCATAGAATTGTGTGAAAAGATTAGCCCAGTTTTGCAGCGGCAGAAATCTTTTACGTTGTATCCGTTATCCCTAGAATATGTAAAAGTAGGTCCCCGTTTCTGTCTGTCTGTCGTTTGTCGTCTGTTGGCGATTTTATTAGATATATTTCAACTTATAGAGCTTATTATAAAAAAAAATACAATTAGTAAAATCAGTCGGGGGCCTCAGTTTTTGAAAGTGTTTAAAAGAATCTTCGGATCCCTCTACGTTTAATTTTTTTAAGAATTTAAAAAGATCTCAAGATCGCTGGTGTTTCTTTGGAGGAACTTGAAAGGTTCATAAGAGCCCAAAGTGTGTCACTCTTTTAGTTAGTTTTTGAAAGAATTTGTAAAATCTCGGGAATACTTAGTGCCTTTTTTTATAGAAAGTTGAAGATTCTTTGGGGTCTCTTGTGTTTTATTTTTGAAAGATTTTGTAAAAAACCTTAGTGTATTTTCTTTAAAATATGTAAACAAACCTTTGAACACCACTTGTGTTTTATTTTTGAAAGAATTTGCCAAAACTTCGGGAACCCCTAGTGTCTTTTTTTTGATAATATAAAAGAATTTTCAAGGCCACTTGTGCTTTATTTCTAAAAGATTTTGAAAAAATTTCAGGGATACCTTATGTTTTGTTTTTGAAGTAGTTTGATAGAATCTTGGGGACCCCTTTTGTTTCGGTTTTGAAGTAGTTTGAAGAATCTCGCGAACTCTTGTGCCTGGTTTTTGAAGTAGTTTGAAAGAATCTCGGGGAAATCTTTGTTCTGGTTTTGAAGTAGTTTGAAAGAATTTCGGGAAACCCTTTGTTTTGGTTTTGAAGTAAGTGTGAAAGAATCTCGGGGACCCCTTGCGTTTTGTTTTTGAAGCAGTTTGAAAGAATCTCGGAGACCCCTTTTGTTTCGGATTTGAAGTAGTTTGTAGAAACTCGGGGACACTTGTGATTGGTCTTTGAAGTAGTTTTAAAGAATCTCGGAGACCCCTTTGTTTTGGTTTTGACGTAGTGTGAAAAAATCTCGAGGATCCCTTGTGTTTTGTTTTTGAAGTAATTTTAAAGAATCTTGGGGGACTCTTTGTGTTTTGTTTTTGAAGTAGTTTGAAAGAATCTCGGGAATTCCATGGGTTTTTCGTTTTTGAAGTAGTTTGAAAGAATCTGGGGGACCCTTTTTGTTTCGGTTTCGAAGTAGTTTAAAGAATCTCGGGGATTTTTCTGCCTGGTTTTTGAAGAAGTTTGAAAAAATCTCAGGGGCCCTTTTTTTTCGGTCTTGAAGTAGTTTGAAGAATCTTGGAGACTCTTGTATCTGGTTTTTAAAGTAGTTTTAAAGAATCTTGGGTACCCTTTTGTTTTGTTTTTTTTTTTTTTTTTGAAGAAGAAGAATAAGGGATTTTTGTGCCTGGTTTTTGAAGTAGTTTGAAAGAATATCGGGGATCCCTTGTGTTTTGTTTTTGAAGTAGTTTGAAAGAATCTCGGGGGACTCCTTGTGTTTTCTTTTTGAAGTAGTTTAAAAGAATCTCGGGGATTCCTTATGTTTTTCGTTTTTGAAGTAGTTGAAAGAATCTCGGGGACTTTTGTGGCTGGTTTTTGAAGTGGTGTGAAAGAATCTCGGGGACCACTTGTGTTTTATTTTTAAAGTTGTTTGAAAGAATTTAGCGAAACCTTTTTGGTTGGGTTTTGAAGTAGTTTGGAGATTCTCGGTGACTCTCGTGCCTGGCTTTTGAAGTAGTTTTAAAGAATCTTGGGGGCCCCTTTTGTCTGGTTTTTGAAGTAGTCTCAAAGAGCCTTGGGGATTCCGTGTTCCTGGTTTTTATTCCTTATGTTATGTTTTTGAAGTAAATAGTTTGAAAAAATCTCGGGACTCTTTTTGTTTCGGTCTTGAAGTAGTTTGAAGAACCTCGGAGACTCTTGTATCTGGTTTTTGAAGTAGTTGTAAAAAATATTGAGCACCCTTTTGTTTTCTTTTTTTGAGAAGAAAAAATCTCAGGGATTCATTTATTTTGTTTTTGAAGTACATAGTTTGAAAGAATCTCGGAGACTCCCTTTTATTTCTGTTTTGAAGTACATAATTTGAAGAATCTCGGAGACTCGTCTGTCTGGTTTATGAAGTACTTTTAAAGAATCCTGGGGATCCCTTGTGCCTGATTTTCGAAGTAATTTGAAAGAATCTCGGGGACTCCTTTGTTTTGGTTTTGAAGTAGTGTGAAAGAGTCTCGGGGATCCCTTGTGTTTTATTTTTGAAGTAGTTTGAAAGAATCTTGAGGGATTTCTTGTGTTTTGTTTTTGCAGTAGTTTGAAAAAATCTCGGGAACCCCTTTTGTTTCGATTTTGAAGTAGTTTAAAGAATCTCGGAAACTCTTGTGGCTAGTTTTTGAAGTAGTTTGAAAGAATCTTGGGCACCCTTTTGTTTCGTTTTTGAAGTAGTTTGAAAGAATCTCGGGGACTCCTTTGTTTTGGTTTTGAAGTAGTGTGAAAGAGTCTCGGGGATCCCTTGCGTTTTGTTTTTGAAGTAGTTTGAAAGAATCTTGAGGGATTTCTTGTGTTTTGTTTTTGCAGTAGTTTGAAAAAATCTCGGAAACCCCTTTTGTTTCGATTTTGAAGTAGTTTAAAGAATTTCCGGGATTCTTGGTGGCTGATTTTTGAAGTAGTTTGAAAGATCTCGGGCACCCCTTTTGTGTTGTTTTTTGAAGTCGATTGAACAAAAAACCGAAGAGCTCTTATCTTCTTTTTGAAGTAATTAGAAAGAATCTCGACGACTCCATGTATCTAGTTTTTGAAGTAATTTGAAATAATGTCGGAGTCGCGTGAATTCCTTGTGTGTTTCGTTTGTGAAAGAGTTTGAAAGTATATTGAGTATCTAATGACTTTTTTCTTGAAATATGTGAAAAAATCCATTACTTTTTCTAGAATATGGAAAAGTAGGTATCCCGTTTCTGTCTGTCTGTCGTTTGTCGTCTGTTGGCGATTTTATTAAACATATTTCAACCTATAGAGGTTATCACAAAAATAAAATTCGTAAAATCAATATTTGAAGCCTGTTAAAGAATTTGAAAAAATGTCGGGAACCTCTAGTATTTTGTTTTTGAAAGTATTTAAAAGAATCTTCGAAGCCCCCTGCGTTTGATTTTTTTAAGAATTTAAACAGACCTTAAGATCGCTAGTGTTACTTTTTTCGAAGAGTTTGAAAGATTCATAGGGGCCCAAAGTGCCATTCTTTAAAATATAAAAAAAACCTTTGAAGGCCCCTCGTGTTTTATTTCTGCAAGAATTTGTACAAACTTGGGATTCCCTGGTGCCTTTTTTATAGAATCTTTATAATATTTTTGAAAGATTTTGAGAAAACCTCTGTAACTCCTAGTGTATTTTCTTTAAAATATGTAAACAGGCCTTTGGAGACCACTTGTGTTATATTTTTGAAAGAATTTCCCTAAACCTCTAGGGGTCTTTTTTTTTTAGATAATGTAAAAGAATTTTGAAGGTGTTTTATTTTTGAAAGATTTTGAAAGGATTTCGAGAATCTCCTGTGTTTTATTTTTGAAGTAGTTTGAAAGAATGTAAAATAATTTTTAAGGCCCCTTGTGTTTCGTTTTTGAAGTAGTTTGAAAGAATCTCGCGGATTTTTGTGTTTTGTTTTTGAAGTAGTTTGAAAGAATCTTGAGAACCTTTTTGTTTCGGATTTGAAGTAGTTTGAAGAATCTCGGAGACTTCTGTGTCCGGTTTTTGAAATAGTTTTAAAGAATCTTGGGTATCTCTTGTGCCTGGTTTTTGAAGTAGTTTCAAAGAATCTCGGAGAACCTTTAGTTTTGGTTTTGAAGTAGTGTGAAAGAATCTCGGGGAGCCCTTATTGTGTTTTGTTTTTAAAGTAGTTTGAAAGAATCTCAGGGATTCGTTGTGTTTTGTTTTTGAAGTAGTTTGAAAAAATCTCGGGTACCCCTTTTGTTTCGGTTTTGACGTAGTTTGAAAGAATCTCAGGAACTCCTTTTGTTTTGTTTTTGAAGTAGCTTTTAAAGAACCTCGGGGACACGTTTATTTTGGTTTTGAAGTAGTGTAAAAGAATCTCAGGGACCCCTTTTGTTTCTGTTTTGAAGTAGTCTGAAGAATCTCAAGGACTCTTGTGTCCGGTTTTTGAAGTATTTTTAAAGAATCTTGAAGATCCCTTGTGCCTGGTTTTTGAAGTAAGTTGAAAAAATCTCGGGGACCCCCGTTTATTTCGGTTTTGAAGTAGTTTAAAGAATCTCGGGGACTCTTTGGCTGGTTTTTGAAATAGATGAAAGAATCTTGGGGATTCCTTGTTCCTAGTTTTTATTCCTTTTGTTATGTTTTTGAAGTATGTAAATTATTTGAAAAAATCTCGGGGACCGTTTTTTTTTGTGTCTTGAAGTAATTTGAAGAATCTCGGGGACCCCTTTTGTTTTCTTTTTGAAGTTGTTTGAAAAAAAAAAAAAAACGATGATCTCTTGTCTTATTTTTGAAGTAATTAGAAAGAATCGCGACGACTCCAAGAGTTTAAAAAAATCTGAGGATTTACTTTTTATGTTATTTTCTAGGGGATCCACAACAAAAAATAAAAATAAAATTCGCAAAATGAACTTGTTTTATTGTCTGTTATGCAGACATAAACGAGGAAAGTTATGTTCAAATAACTTTAGACCTTTTTTTAAAAGAATGAAGTTGCGGTAAAAATCGTTAATTTTTAATTTACTTCCGGAAAGATTAAATGTGGTTTAAATCCTCGGAAGATTAACAGAAAAAGCATTTCAGAGTAAATGTACTTAAGCAAAAGTGTTATAATATTCTAAAACAAGAAACTCAGTAAATCTTTCAAAACAGTATTCATCGTCACCCCCTTGTTAAAATTTAATATTTAAAGATTTAATCGTCCACATTTTAATACCCTTTCAAGCTACCCAGTAGTCTCTAAAAGCACTTAAGCACTTCAAAACAGGAAAAACTTATTACTAAACTTATGTACCTCTTAAATTTTTATGTAATTGTTATCAAAAAATTTACCGCATTCAACAATTATTACTCTTCAATTCAAGTATCACACTCATTGTAAGAATAGAGAAACAATAAAACACAGTCAATCACAATTTCTAATCGCTGATAAATACATCAATTCAATTACAAAACCTCAATCTCATTTTTTCAGCACCCCGGCGGCGGCGAGCTCGTCCTAGAATGGGCGGGCAAAGAGAGCACTAAAGCCTTCGACGACGCCGGCCATTCCGGTGACGCGAAAAAGGAGCTGAAACAGTACAAAATCGGCGAACTCCGAGAGGTAATCCGCTAATTAAACCAATTCTCACTGCTGAATATTTAAAACAAACTTTTCCGGATCTTGTTAAAAACTCAAACTGACGCAAACGCAATTACAGGAAGACCGGAAACAGAAACAGAAAAAGAAGGAGACCGACAAGGCGAAGGAGGACAGAAGGTACACTGATCGATTGATTAGCCCGATTATACGCGATTTTTTTCAGGAGTTTCTGCAGCTATCTGACTTGTGGACTGTGCTGATGGAACGTCTGGTACATTTTAATCAAATCTGTGATAAAATGTTTGCTGTTTTTACTTAAGTGTTAATAAATATTTTACTAAGAAATAAGGCGATTAAGCGTCAAGGACTGCGACAGGATTAAATGCAAACATGTCCGTTCAATCTTTTCAGGTGCTCTGCAAACAGAAGAGCGCTTAGGTGCGGCTATTGCCAATAGGGAAAAGGCGATGGGGAAATTTAACACAACTACTTTGCAATTTTATTCTCATGGGACGAGAGGACAATGAAAGGGGATTCAAGGTGTCTACGTGCGACTTTAAAATTACAAATTGTGGTAACTAGACTAAACTACAAGTGATAAACTTGTTCAAGGAGTCTCAATGCAACTATTCTACACTCAGAATTTCAACAATGTGACGACACTCATTCAGAATCTGGAGGAATTCAATGGAACTCGAGCTTTGTCGCTACTTTAGAAAGAGCTTAATACTCTGGACTGGTTTCTGCAATTTTTTTCGACTTTGTACTCTAAAAATACTTTATTCCATTTAGAGTTACAAACAAATTTCGTTTTTCCAAGAGAAAATGAATACAGCACTTCTGAAAAAAGTCATATGAGGGCAATTTTTGCTTTTTAAAAGCAAATGTCATAAATATAGTATGGTTCTAAAAAGTATAACTCTTATGTCTTAAATACCGGTGTGGTCATCTTTTAAATCGCAGTTGGTCATACTATTGAGAACTTAAACGTCATTACATTATTCTGGCATTTGTGACTTCAAATATCAAACCATAAAAATTATTAAATGTCAATAAATGGGTGGTCCATATTGTTTTTATGTTTGTGGTTCTAATGGTAAAATTTTAAATAGTGTATATGCAACCAACAATACTGCAAGCTTTCTATTGTCTCGTTTATCAATCATGAGAACATCATGACAATGATCAAGTGACAAGTGACGTTTGACATTTTGTCTGTCACGTCCCTTTGTGGGTTGAGAATTTAAGTCCTGTTGTTTTACCAAACCATTAATTTTTATATTGACAGGGTTTATCAATCAGGGGGTAGACAAGAAATCAAAAACAAAAAAAGAAATGTTTTAATTTTACCCTGTCCATCTGCACCCTCTTTTAACTATGGAATATGAACTACCCACAGAATTCGATATCATCATTATCGGAACAGGTGAGCTTCGTTATGTGTACCCTTGTAATTCTAGCCCCTATTTTCAAGGTGTTATCGAATCTATCATCTCTGCAGCTGCTAGCCGAATCGGAAAACGCGTCTTACATATTGATAGCAACAACTATTATGGGGGTCTGTGGGCTTCTTTCAACTTAGACGCAATTCATAAGTTGTCTGCAAACACCGAAGTTTTAGAGCCACCTACAGATTTACTAAACCCGGATGAGACAACCTTTGCTTTAGGGAATGATTTTTTCAGCTTGAAAAATTTTAAAACTGACTGGCACATTCCAAAGGCTGAAACTCAACCAGAAAACGAAAACGTGGAAGAAAAAAATGAACCAGAAAGTGAAGAAAAACCCGAGAAACCCATGACTCAAGAGTCTCTCATCAAAGATGGCCGCAAATTCAACATAGATTTAGCCCCAAAGCTACAATTTGCGCGAGGCGAATTCGTGGAATTACTCATTTCTTCAAATATCGCCCGGTATTCCGAATACCGTAGCGTAAGTAGAGTTCTAACTTGGCTCAACGGCCAACTGGAGACCGTTCCATGTTCTCGATCTGACGTTTTCGCCAATAACAAAGTCACGGTTATTGAGAAACGCATGCTGATGAAGCTCTTCATGGCTTTAGACAGCGGCGACCAGGAGTATCTCAATTATGACAATAAAACGTTTAGAGCTTTTCTCACTGACAAAAAATTAACTCCTAGTTTGATTCATTACGTGCTTTACGCGATTTCTATGAGTACTGACGAAACGTTGTGTTTGCAAGGGATTCAAAACACCAAACGATTTCTCGATAGTTTGGGGAGATTTGGAAAAACGCCTTTCCTATTTTCCATGTATGGGAGCGGTGAGATCACTCAAGCTTTTTGTAGGTAAGGTGGGTGTATTGTGGTTTGCATAACCTAACTTTTTGACAACTAGATTGAGTGCCGTTTTTGGTGGTATTTATGCTTTGAGTCAACCCCTGAGTAGCCTAATTTTTGACAATGAAAATAATTTCAAAGGACTGATCTGCGGAAAGCAACGAATAAGTGCCGAATTTTTAGTAATGGGGGCTGAAAAAGCACCCCCAGAGTTTATCAAATCGCCCCCGCGATCTTTCATTGCTAGAGCGGTTTTCATCACTGATAGATCTATAATGAGTAGCGAGAAAGAGCACCTGACGCTGCTTTTGTACCCGCCTGAAGGGGGTAAAAATTCGTGCGTCATCATAGAACTGGGTACTTTGACTGGTACTTGTCCCAAAGATCTCTGTACGTTGAAGCCCCCATTCCAAAAATATTTACATTGATTGTGTAATTTCAGATCTTGTTCATTTAATTTCACAGCAGGTGGCGTCCCCTGAGGACGACTTCAAGCACTGCGTTGAAAACTTATTCAGCAAATTTGAAGATGACAAAAAACCCAAGATTTTGTGGTCTTGCTTTTTCTCAATTCCAGATTCCAATGCGTTAGATTTGAAAACTGGGGTCCCTGGAAACGTGGTGTTGTGCCCTGGGCCTGATCTCGACCTTGATTATGATGATGCAGTGAAAAAAGTATTGATCCGTTTTACAAGCACCACTTTTTTATATTTATGCGCTTGTAGGCTAAAGCGATTTTTTCTGATCTCTACCCGGACACTGAATTCCTGCCAAGGGCTCCAGATCCTGAAGACATAATCATTGAAGGTGACACAGAAGACAGGAATGATGAAGATGAAGTTGTATTAAAGCCTGAAGAAAATACTGACAAGGTAGCAGAAAGTGAAACAGAAGCAAAAAGTGATAATGACCAAGAAGTACCAAAGTCTGAAAATGAACATGAAGAGTAGAATGAAATTTATATACTTTATGCTTAAATCATATAAAATTAAATTAAACTAATTGTATCACAAAAAGTAGCCAATTTATCCCCAAGCTGGAGTCTTGCAGTAATGCAAAACTAACTTCCCTTCAGTTGAGTAACAATCATACAAATTTTTCATGACTTGATCTGGCGATGGCGCGAAAGTTTGATTCACGTAGAGGAACTACAACAACTAAATTAAGTCGCAAATAGTTGGACTTTCACACATACCAATTTTTCCTGTGGTTCCAGTTTCATGTACCGTTTCATAAACTCGGCGATCCACGAAATGGGCTTGTCGCCGTCCACCGTCCACTTTTTCTTCTTCATGATGGGTGCATTGCCCGTGGGTTTGAGTAATATATCAACTGGAATATCACCATCAATGGAAAAAAAGCAAAAACATGACTCACTTTTCTGTTTGTCGTTTTTGTGATTTTCGGGATCCGTGCTTGTTTCGCCAACGTCGTTGATGTTCAACGACTGGAGGGACTGCAGTGAGTCTTCAGCCCCTTTATTTTCGGCAGGGGCGTCGCTCATTTTCAGATGTTTGACCAATAACAACAATATAACCCTAACGTTGTGACACCTGTCAACTGTCAATCGTCAGGTGAAAAGTGAGCGGTATGCAACCAACAATGCACTTGGTTCGAAATGTGTTCAAATTTGCCATGTTGTTGTTGTAAAATCATGGACAGGCGAAATTTGTGCACAATTAACTGTCGTGCTCGGAATTAGCGCAACATTAATAGCTTAACCGGAGCCAGTCCGACCCTGCTGACAAAGCTTACTCATCACATTTCTGACAGTTAACCCCCAAACTTGCCACCTGTCAAACTAACCAAATTTTCGTACTAAATTGCAGATGAATCACAACACGATGAATTCGATTTCTTTGTAGCACACACTCGTACATTCTAGAACCCCACTTTCTATTTAAATACCAAATCGCAAGTGTCAAGCACCAGTCACAATCACATTCCACAACCATGGAGTTCCCAGATGTTGGTAAACACTGCTCCATGAAAAACTGCAACAAGTTAGGTAAGTTGTTAACATTTAGCAACCACACAACCTATTTTCAAGAATTGCAGATTTCCTTCCAATCAAATGTGATGTCTGTTCAGAAATTTTTTGGTAAGTTGATCAACTTCATTGAATTTGTTGTTATACATAGTTGAATCGTGATTCCAGTGATGAGCACTATTTTTATACGAAGCATGACTGCGCGAACGCCTACTTAAAAGACAACCAAGTGCCTGTTTGCCCCTTGTGCAATAAACCAATACCTGTGGGTCAGGGCCAGCAACCCGACCAGGTGGTTGGGGCTCACATTGACAACGACTGTCAGTCAGATCCTGCTAAAAATAAACGCAAAGTGTTCACAAACAGGTGTTCAAGGAAAGGGTGTAAAGTGAAAGAAGTTGTGCCTGTTATTTGTGACGATTGTGGTCTTAATTTTTGTCTGAAACATCGACATGTGCAAGATCATCAGTGTCAAGGAAAGAAAGGCGCTGTGAAGGAGAGGATGCTAAATGCTGCTTTAGCTAGACAACAAAATGCCAAAAGCACTGCCACTACGCTTACGGATGAAATACATGGAACAATGGTCAGTTTTAACTTTTGTAGGTGTATTTATACTATTTGTGTTTGTTGTAGAGTGAAGATGAAGCTTTAGCTCGCGCCCTGGCTCTCTCAATGCAGGATAGTGACAATGTAAAAACTCCCACGCAAGAAGAGATGGATTTGGCGCTTGCTAGGCAGCTGCAAGCGTCAGAATATCACGGGACTACTGCAGGAGCCAGGAGTAGTAATAGGGACCGCTGTATTGTAATTTAACTATCGCTTGTTTATTCAATAAGTATACACCAATAATTTATTCCTTGTCTTTAGATTTGTACTTTTTATGTAATTTATGAATATTACTCAAATGAAATGCAATAAATCTCAATTACTGTTATTTCTTTTAAGTTGCGTCATTATTTTGTTATCTTGTTTGTCACGAGGGAAATCGAAAGATGTTTTTTAATTGTGCAAAAGAGCCAGGGAATACGCAAACAACTGTGATATAGAATGACGACATATTGACCACAAAACAACGTCTACCAGTGGCGTATCGTTAACAAAATAGGCAAAAAATGATTATGAAACGTCAACTTATGAAAATAAACAAGGTGCTATATTACTTTACGTTGCCGTTGACGTTGGCTTTTTAACCAATCAAATTGCGGTAGTGTGCAGTGCTGGCAACCTGAAGGCGAAAAATCTCATTTTCCTTGACCTATAAAACTTTATTCAAATCCTAGATTCTATAAGTTTCCACTCTCAAGTTGTCAGAAGAACAACATTATACTTTGCCTGTTTTTCTTAATATATGTAGTCTTCTTTTCATAACAAGAAACTTAAAACATGTTTAAAACAAGAAATAATGTGAATTTTGCAGTTACGCTCCGCCCCTCGGTTTGACAACGAGTGGAAAATTCATCAAGATTGACATCCAGTCCAGACGGATAGGTGGGGGTTATCTTTTAGCTTTTTTGCTTAATACACATAGTTTTCGTTGACCAATACGATCACTGAAGAGCAGTTTCATGTGATAATTCTTGTAGAAAAATACGAATTTTGTAATTAAGCTCCGCCCCTTTTGGCTCACGATAAACAAAGAAAAATTGTTACAAATGAGACAGGATGGGTGGGCGGGGTTTATATTTTGCACTTTTTTTCTTAATATACATAGTCTTCTCTTCACAACAAAAAACTGAAACATGCCTAAAATGGCAAATTTTACCCTTTCAAACATGTTTTCAATTTATTGTCGTGAAAAGAAAACTATGTAAACATATTAGGAAAGAGAAGACGTAATACAATTGTGATAACTGTTTTTATTCGTCGTGAGCCGAGAGGAGGAGCTTAACTGCAACATCTTTATTTCTCTATAAGAAACTACCATGTGAAACATGTGTATAAGCATCACGTCATTGAAAAAAAACTATATATAGGTGAAGAAAATAGAAGTCAAAAATTAGGCCCCGCCCACCCACCCAAATTCAAATGTGATGTATTTTGCATTCGTTGTCAGACCGAGGGGAAGAGCCTAATTGTAAAATTGAAAGCCCCACCCACCCACCCTTATCTCACTTGTGATGAATTTTTCACTAAAACATGTTTTAAGTATTATCATATTGTTCAAAATAGATCGTTTTGAGATAAAGGTGACTGTGTAACCCTCTCTGGCCTACTATGTCGACAATAACAAAAGATGTTTCACATGGTAATTTTTGGTAGAGAAACAAAGATTTTGCAATTAAGCTCCGCCCTCTTGCTTCACGACGAATAAAAAAAATCATCACAATTGAGATAGGGTGGGCGGGTGGGGCTTATACTTTGCCTGTTTTTCTTAATAAATGTAGTCTTCTTTTCATAACAAGAAACTTACATGTTTAAAACAAGAAATAATGTGGATTTTGCAGTTACGCTCCGCCCCTCGGTTTGACAACGAGTGGAAAATTCATCAAGATTGACATCCAGTCCAGACGGATAGGTGGGGGTTATCTTTTAGCTTTTTTGCTTAATACATGTAGTTTTCTTTGAGCAATACGAACACATGGTAATTCTTGAAGAAAAAGATTTTGTAAATAAGCTCCGCCCCCCTTGGCTCACGATGAAAAAAGAAAAATCGCTACAAATGAGATAGGGTGGGAGGGCGGGGTTTAGATTTTGCATTTTTTTTTTCTTAATATCCATAGTATTCCCTTCACAACAAAAAACTGAAACATGTTTAAAATGGTAAATTTTATTCCTCACACTTCTCTAGAAATTTACCCTTTTAAACATGTTTTCAGTTTATTGTCGTCAAAGAAAACTACGTACACATTTAAAACAAAGAAAACATAATACAAACCCCGCCCACCCACCCTTTTCTCAATTGTGATAATTGTTTTTATTCGTCGTGACCCGAGAGGGGGAGCTTAATTGAAAAATTCTTATTTTTCTACAAGAAACTACCATGTGAAACATTTTTTTAAGCATCATGTTGTTGAAAGAAAACTATATAATTATGTCAAGAAAAAAGAAGACAAAAGTTAAGCCCCGCCCACCCACCCAAATCTCAAATGTGATGAATTTTTCATTCGTTGTCAGACCGAGGGGCGGAGCTTCATTGTAACATCGCTGTTTCCCAAAAAAAAATTTACCATTTCAAAGGTTTTAAATATCTTGGTGTGAAAAGATCATTACATATGTCTAGAAAAAAGGGCAAAATTTAAGCCCTGCCTACCCACCTCCATCTCAGTCGTAATGATGGTATTCCTTATAAGCCCGGGGGCGGAGTTTAACTGCAAAATCCTTATTTCTCTACAAGAATTTATCGTCTATAACATGTATTTAGATTAAAAAAAAAGAAAGCCCCACCCACCGACCCTTATGTCATCTGTGAGACATTTTTCATCAAAACATGTTTTAAGTATTACTTAAGTATCATATTGTTCAAAATAAACAGATCATTTTGAGATAAAGGAGACTGTAACCCTCTCTCCCCTACTATGTCAACAATAACAAAAGGTGTTTCACAAGCTAATTTGTTGTTGCGACCTTGGGTCACGACGAATAAAAAAATCGTCACAATTGAGATAGGGCGGGTGGGCGGGCTTATATTTTGCCTTTTTTTTTTTCTTAATATACATAGCCATCTTTTCACGACAAGAAAGTTAAAACATGGTACGCACATTTTTGCAACGAAATATAGATTTTGCACTTATGGGGAGGAGCCTAATTGCAAAATCGATATTTCCTTATAGAAATTTTCTATTTTAAACACGTTTTAAGTTTCATTTTGTGAAAAAAGTCTACAGATATTAAAACAAAAAGGCAAAATGTCAGCCCGCCCACCCACCCTTTCTCAATTCTGGTGTTTTTTTTTAATTCGCCATGAACCAAGGGGCGGAGCTTAACTGCAAAATACTTATTTCCTTACAAGAAATTAGAAACATCTTTTTGAATATCGTGTTTTTCAAAGAATACCTTATATTTTGCCTGTTTTTCTTAATATACGTATCCCATATTTTCAGAACAAGAAACTTAAAACTCGTTTAAAACGGTAAATTCTTGTAGACAAATCTTGCAATTAATTTGACAATGAACGAAAAATTCATCACAATTGAGAATTGAGATCGGGGCGGGTATGGGTGGGGCCTAATCTTTGGCTTGATTTTTTTTCTCAATATATCCACATAGCATTCTTTGAACACAACGATACTCAAAAACATGTTTTTAATTTCTCGTAGAGAAATAAGGAATTTGCAGTTAAGCTCCGCCCTCTTGGCTCACGACCGAGGAGGGTAGAATATTATTATTAAAAAAATCATCACAATCGAGATAGGGCGGGTGGGCGGGGCTACATTTTGCCTTTTGTTTTCTTAATATGTGTAGACTTATTTCGGCAAAAAGAAACTTAAAACATGTCTAAAATGATAAATGTTTGTAGCAATCAACTTAAATCCTCCACTTTTCTTCTACAACCCCTTTAAATACGGCAAAAGTTGAACATCAAAGTTCACACTCATATTCACAAATGACGTTTATAATCTTGAAATTGTTATTATAAAAACACAAACATGCTTTTCATCAGAACGAATTTAAAACCTCGATTATAAAAGTGCTAAAATTTGAATTCCTGGAACGTCACCTTATGAAAATGAACGAAGTGTTTATGTTAAAAAAAAAATGTCAACACAGTCAAAAGTGAGGTTACGTTGAGTCGGCGTGTTCAACTTAAAAACCCATTATCCTGTTATTCCTTAATTGAACCATTAACGTGCCGCCTCTGCCCACCTCATCAACTCGTGCCCCAACAATGCCATCTGAAGACATTCCGACCCACAGATAACCCCTCTTATCGCAATTTCCCTCATTAAGTAACGCAAAGTGCCTTCCACGTCAGTAGTGCCTTAGTACCCAACCATGGTGGCCACCGACTCGTCCATCACCCGCTTTTACCTGCAACCAGGTTGCACCCCTGCAAAGAAAACCGAAATCCTGCTCAAGCTTCAACAGAAAAGCCCCAAACTATTGAACATCGAGACCGAGTTGTGCTACCACGTGGAAACCACGTCGCCGTTATCGGAGAAAGAGATAAGCTTGCTCAAATGGGTACTGCAAGACCCGTTCCATCCAGACAGACTGTCACGAGAGAAGCACTTATCGGAGGAAAATTCCAGCCACGTGGTGGTCGAAGTGGGGCCAAGGTTCAACTTCTCGACGTCCAATTCCACCAATGCCGTGTCGATTTGCCAGAATTTGGGGCTGGGGCAGGTGGTCAGGCTTGAGGTATCACGCAGGTATAAGCTGATTTTTAATGAGGGGGTTAATGCGTCGAAAGATGAAGTGGACGAAGCGGCGGCGGTGTTGTATGATAGGATGACGGAGTGCAGGTACACTCCAGAGAATATTCCGAGGAAGAGTTTTAACGAAAAGTTGGTGAAGAAGGAGGATATTAGGGAGATAAATGTGTTGAAAAAGGGAGAAGAGGCGATTAAGGAGATTGATAGGGAGATGGGGTTGGCGTTTGATCAGGCTGACTTGAAATACTACACGAATTTGTTTCAAAAAGTATTGAAAAGAAACCCGACGAATGTTGAGTTGTTTGACATGGCGCAGTCCAACAGTGAACATAGTAGGCATTGGTTTTTTAAAGGAAAAATGGTTATTGATGGGGTGGAACATGAAGAATCTCTAATTGATATGATTGTGGACACCCAGAAGCACACAAATCCAAATAATGTTATCAAGTTTAGTGATAACAGCAGGTAATTATATTATAATCTATGAAAATACTCTCAGGGGGGGTTCACACACTTCAGTGTGTGTATAATTGGTTGCATATACATCACACTAAGTCGGACGTTTTGAAATACCCACAATGGTTTGTTTATTCAAGTGCCATGAAGGGTTACATCCACCGCAGCCTCAGACCCATCACTGCCGGTTCCATGAGCGAACTACGTGAAGTAAACACCGAATCTCACTTGATTTTCTCCGCGGAAACCCACAACTTCCCTACCGGCGTAGCACCATTTAGTGGCGCCACCACTGGGACTGGTGGCAGAATCAGAGACGTCCAGAGTGTAGGCAGAGGCGGTTACTGCATTGCCGGCACTGCTGGTTACTCAGTCGGTAACTTAAACATTCCAGGTAAGAGTGTAAACCCCACAAATAACCTCCACTAAACAAAAAAATCAAGGATATAGTCTCCCTTGGGAGGACTCCTCTTTGGAGTACCCAACCAACTTCGCACCCCCATTGGAGGTTCTAGTAGAAGCCAGCAACGGCGCCTCCGACTATGGTAACAAATTCGGGGAACCCCTCATCTCCGGTTTTGCCCGATCTTTCGGTCTGGTGGACTCGGAAGGTGAGCGCAAGGAGTGGATCAAACCCATCATGTTCAGCGGGGGGATTGGAAGCATGGAGGCCACCATGACCGAGAAACTACCACCAAAACCAGGCCACAACATCGTCAAAATAGGAGGGCCGGTGTACAGGATTGGAGTAGGAGGAGGGTCGGCGAGCTCCGTGGAGGTCCAAGGGGATAATAAGGCCGAACTGGACTTCAACGCAGTTCAGAGAGGTATAACAATAATAATAATGTGATTAGCCAACCATTCCGTTATGTTAAATACGGTCAAAATCACAATGTACACACTTCGCTGTGAGAGGAATGTCCGAAAATAAAACCTAACTGAGGATCTGAATCTCGAGTGTTAAATTTAACGTGAACCGGGACACTACAATAATAATAATAATACTTGTACTAGGTGATGCTGAGATGGAGCAAAAGCTCAACAGAGTGGTCCGCGCTTGTCTGGAATTGGGTAAAGAAAACCCCATTGTAAGCATCCACGACCAGGGAGCGGGAGGAAATGGGAACGTTCTCAAGGAACTGGTCGATCCCGTGGGGGGAATTATTTACGCGAATAAATTCGAACTGGGAGACCCCACTATCAACGTCCTCGAATTATGGGGTGCCGAATATCAAGAAAACAATGCCCTTCTGTGTGATAAAGCCGACTTGGAAATACTGAAAAATATATGTAGGAGAGAAAGGTGCCCTATTAATGTTGTAGGGGAAGTCACGGGAACCGGGAAAGTCGTTTTAGCTCTAGACGAAACTAAGAAGGTTTTACCATTTAACTTGGAACTTACACATGTATTAGGTTAGTGACTTGATTATTGGTGTTGGTTGTGTTTAAAGATTATTTCGTAGGAAAAATGCCACGGAAAGTATTCAAATTGGAGCGAAAAAGTCCTCTTTTGAAGGAACTCCAATTGCCGGATGCTCTCTCCATCTATAGTACCTTGGAACGTGTTTTGCGACTGCCATCTGTCGCCAGTAAGCGCTACTTAACTAATAAAGTCGATCGGTGCGTCACTGGACTAATCGCTCAGCAGCAGTGTGTGGGACCTTTACACACACCTTTAGCGGACGTAGCCGTTACCGCTATCTCGCACTTTGGGTATGAAGGCGTGGCTTCGTCCATCGGCGAGCAGCCAATCAAAGGCCTCGTGAATACCGCAGCCGGAGCGCGCATGACCGTCGCCGAGGCCCTCTCCAACCTCGTCTTCGCCCTAATCTCAAACATCAAAGACGTCAAATGCAGCGGCAACTGGATGTGGGCCGCTAAACTCCCCGGCGAAGGTGCCGCCCTCTTCGACGCTTGTAAAGCCATGTGCGACATCATGTCGCAGCTGGGAATCGCCATAGACGGCGGCAAGGACTCCCTCAGTATGGCGGCCCGTGTAGGAAAAGACACCGTCAAGGCTCCAGGAACTTTGGTAGTGTCCACGTACGCTCCCTGCCCCGACGTCCGAAAAGTAGTAACCCCGGATTTGAAAGTCCCAGCGACTGGTAAAACCGGCCAGTTGTTGTTCGTGGATTTGTCGAACGGCCAGAGCAGGTTGGGTGGTACAGCGGTGGCCCAAGTTTTCGGTCAATTAGGCAAAGAATGTCCAGATGTGGAAAACGTGGAGGAGTTGAAAAACGCGTTCGTGGCCACGCAGGAGTTGATCAGAGATGGCGCGGTACAAGCAGGGCACGACGTGAGCGACGGAGGGCTGATTGTGTGTCTTCTGGAGATGTGTTTCGCTGGAATAAGCGGGATTGAGGTGCAGATTGTACATAGACAGGGACAAACTATCCCGATTTTGTTCTCTGAAGAGGTGGGGTGGGTGCTGGAGGTGGCGGAGAGCGACGTGAGGCATTGTCTTGACGTGTTCAAAGTAAGTATAGTCGTTGTGTGTCATACATAACTAATTTTTTTATGTAGAAACACAAAGTTCCTGTGTACAAGATTGGTAAGAGTGTGGGGTGTGGTATTGACTCAAAAATCACTATAAATGTTAACAACGCATGCATCGAGAGTACCGTGTTGCCACTTATGCGCATGTGGGAAGAGACGAGTTACAAGTTGGAGTTGCACCAAACTATTAAGACCTGCGCAGACTCCGAATTTAATTCATTGACGTCACGGGCACACCCTAAGTACCGACTATCCTTCGATCCCGATATAGATTCAGCTATCAAGGGTCCAGTGCACGTCAAAGTGGCCGTTCTACGCGAAGAAGGTACCAATGGTGACAGAGAAATGGCAGCTGCTTTAGTCAGAGCCGGTTTCAAAGTCTGGGACATAACAATGCAAGACCTTCTATCCGGGAACGCAGTTCTGGATCAATTCAGAGGGATTATCTTCCCGGGTGGTTTCAGCTACGCCGGTATGTATTTGATTTTGACTGAATGTACACCAATAAAACACATTTTTTAGATGTTTTGGGTTCGGCGAAAGGCTGGGCCGGCAGCATCCTCTTCAACAAAACCATCAAGGATCAGTTCGACCGTTTCTACTCCCGTCCGGACACCTTCAGTCTCGGTGTATGCAACGGTTGCCAACTTATGGCGATGATCGGTTGGGTGGGAGAGCTCAATTCCGACAATACCGCCAACATCGTGCTCGAGCACAACGTTTCGGAACGTTTCGAATGCAGATGGAGCACCGTCAGGATCGAAAAATCCAACGCCATTATGCTGAAAGACATGGAAGATTCGGTGTTCGGAGTCTGGGTCGCGCATGCCGAAGGCAAATTTACGTTTAAGAATTCGTCGGTGTATGAAGATCTGAATAAAAATAAGTGCGTGGGGTTGAGATACACTGACGATAATGGAAATCCGACGGAAATCTATCCCATGAACCCGAATGGTAGCATTGGGGGGATTGCCGGGATTTGTTCCGTTGATGGTAGGCATTTGGCGATGATGCCCCATCCGGAACGCTGCGACCAACCGTATTTGTGGCCATACGTCCCAACGGATTGGCAGCACTACCAGAAGAGCCCGTGGCAGAAGATGTTCAAGAACGCGTTCGATTGGTGCTGTAACGTTAAGTTCTTCCCCGTGTACTATTAGCTTTTGCATTCCAATATATTTTATTTTTGTATTTTTAATAAACTTGATGAAACCTGAAACAAATATTTTATTGTAAAACTTGTGGTTATAGTTGTTACTAACTTTCACGAATTCATTAAGAGCTTCATTAAAATTCGTTCGGGTTTTCCGTACCCTACTCAAAACGATTTATACATTTTCAAAAAACCGGTTGATCACCTGCAGGGCGCCAAGGGTGACTAGTTTAGTTTCAGCTGTTGTCTCGGTCAGAGTAGAATGAAAAACGTTTGTGTTTTATTGGTTGTGTGCCTGTTTTTTGTACATAATGAAGCAGCGGAACAGAAGATACAGAGAAAAACATTGTACGGATGCGCTGATGCTCCGCAAGGACTAGATCGGACAGTAATTATTGACAGAAATGAGGTACCACCCCTCACTGGTATAGAAAGATCAACGGAAAACATCACGTTAGAATCGAAGGTAATTAACCAGTTATACCGGGACAGTTTAATTATTTGTATACTCACCTGTCAAAAGTGTCCTTTTTCGATTATCTCTGGGAATTCCCACATCTTGAAATTAAATGCGTGGTGAAACCCAGAATTATTTACACAATTTATTTTACAAAATACCTATGTATCACAGTATTAACAATAACAAAAGTAGGTCTTACATTATTGTGTCTGTCGTTTTAACTTCGTTCACTTTGAAAGAGTTTTCAGTAATTCTTAATCATAAATATTAAAAGCTGAAATTTGATTATAACTAGTTACGTAATGTTCATATTATAATATGTAACCATTTTTTCAGTATTACTTGGAATTCAGGTGAATGTAGTCAAGGTGAACGTGATCAAAAGCTTTTAATCTATACATTTAAATAATTTTTCATAAAATTTCATGTTATTTACAACATTGATTCCTCTATTTTTGCTTATATTAATACCTATCTTTCTGAGAACTTGTTTGATCTACAGACCAGAGCGCGTTCAGGCCAATGTCGACTCTAAGCGTTCACAAGCGATGTTGTTGGTTTGGACTAGAATTTTTTATTATTACTGATACTTATATGTACTATTTTTTGTTTAACTAAGAATTAATTCTTTAGTTGTGTTTTATACTAGCAAAACGTGGCAACATTGTGTTCTACTTGGTATGGATTTTTAAATGTTTTTAGTGACAATTTTTTCGTTATTTTCGATACATTGTATGATATTAATTCGAAAAATCGAGAAATCTAAAAATCGAAAAATTAAATAAATGTAAAATTCAAAAATCTAAAATTATAAGGAAGAATATGAAGGAATCGAAAAGTCGAACAGTTGAGAAATCGAAATAAGCCAAAATCGAAAAATTAAAACTTGAAAAATTGAAATATTGAGAAATCGAAAAGTCATGAAGTCAAAAAATCAAAAAATTGAGAAATCGAAAGAACAAAAAGTTAAAAGTTGAAAAATTGGAAAAGCGGAATAATAAAAAAAAAAACGAAAAAATGGAAAACTGGAAAAACTGAAAAATCCGAAAACTGAGAATCTAAAAAGTTGAAAAATTAAGAAATCGAAAATTCAAAAAAGTACAAAATTGAACCATTGAAGAACAGGAAAATTGAAACACTCGAAAGTCAAGAAATGGGAAAATCAAAACATCGATTAATTGAAAAATCGAAGAATTAGAGTTTATTAAAGTCAAATTTGAAAAATTGAGAAATCGAAAAAACAAAAAGTTTAAAGTTGAAAAATTGGAAAAGCGGAAAAATAAAAAAACGAAAAATGGAAAACTGGAAAAACTGGAAAACCGAAATAGGTCAAAATATAAAATCAAAATGTTATAAATTGAAAAGCTGATAAATCGAAAAACTGAACAATCAAATCTTGACAAATCGGGAATGAAAAAATAACAATTCGAAAATTTGAGAAAAAGAAAAATAAAAAAAGTGAAATCGAAATATAGAAACCTTAAAAAATCAAAAGTTTAAAGTTGAAAAATTGGAAAAGCGGAAAAATAAAAACAACGAAAAATGGAAAACTGAAAAAACTGAAAAACCGAAATAGGCCAAAATATAAAATCAAAATGTTATAAATTGAAAAATTGATAAATCGAAACACTGAACAATCAAATCTTGATAAATCGGGAATGAAAAAATAACAATTCGAAAATTTGAGAAATTGAAAAATCAAAAAAGTGAAGTCGAAAAATAGAAACCTTAAAAAATCGAAAAAATGAAAAATCAAAAACCAAAAAATTGAAAAGTTAAAGAATTGAAGAACAGGAAAATCGAAACATCGATTAATTGAAAAATCGAAGAATTAGTTTATTAAAGTCAAATTTAAAAAATTGAGAAATCGAAAAAACAAAAAGTTTAAAGTTGAAAAATTGGAAAAACGGAAAAATAAAAAAACGAAAAATGGAAAACTGAAAAAACTGAAAAACCGAAATAGGCCAAATTATAAAATCAAAATGTTATAAATTGAAAAATTGATAAATCGAAAAACTGAAATCTTGATAAATCGGGAATGAAAAATTAACAAGACTTTAAGTCAAATTGAAAAATTGAAAAATCGAAAATTTCGAAAAACAACAATTGAGAAACAGAAAATCTAAAACCGGTAAATCGAAAAATCGAAAACTTAAGAAATCGAAACATTTGAAAAATTCGGAAACTTGAAAATTGAAATACATATTGAAGAACTGAAATGAAAAATCGAGAAATCGAAAAATGTAAAATTTTAAATATTGAAAAATTGAAAAATCGAAGAATCGAAATATTGAAAAATCCCAAAACTGAAATATCGAAAAACTGAAAAATTCCAAAACTTGAATATCCAAAAACTCAGAATCTACAAAATTGAAATATTGGGACACCGAAAAATCTAAAAAGTAAAGTCGAAATATCGAAACCTTAAAAAAAATCGAAAAATTGAAAAATCAAAAATACCTGAAAAATCGAAAAATTGAAGAACTGGAAAATCGAAACAGTCAAAATGCAAGAAATGGGAAAATTAAAACATCGATAAATTGAAAAATCAAAAAATTTAGAAATGTCAAAAATTGAAAAATTGAATAATCGAAATATTTAAAAATCGTAAAATTGAAAAGGAGAAAAATTGGAAAATGTAAAATTGAAACATCGGAAAACTGAGAAAGCGAAAAATTGAACATCGAGAAATTGAAAACTTCATATATTGTAAAGTCCAAAAATTGAATAATAAATAATCTGAAAAGTCCCTAATCTGAAACATCGAAAAATTGAAAAATTAAAGAAAAACTGAAGAATGGAAAAACTGAAAAATCTCAAAACTGAGAAATTAAAAAATTGAAAAGTTAAGAAATCAAACAATCAAAAAAGTGAAGTCGAAAAATCAAAACTTTAAAAAATTGAAAGAAATGAAAAATCGAAAAACTGAGAGTTTATGAAAGTCAAATTTGAAAAATTGAAAAATAGAAATATTTAAAAATTGTAAAATTGAAGAGGAGAAAAATTGGAAAAATGTAAAATTGAAGCATTGGAAAATTGAGAAATCCAAAAATTAAAAATCGTGGAATTGAAAAACTGAAAAATGGTAAAATCGAAAAATTGAATAACAAATAAACTGAAAAATCCCAAAACTGAGATTTCTAAAAATTGAAAAATGAAAACAAACTGAAAAATCCCAAAACTGAAATGTCCAAAAACTGAGAAATTAAAAAATTGAAAATTTATCCAATCGAAAAATCAAAAAAGTGAAGTTGAAAAATCGAAACCTTAAAAAATAGAAAAATTGAAAAACCAAAAACCCGATTGTAAAAATTGAAGAATTAAAAAACTGAAAAATCGAAACATCCGAAAGTCAAGAAATGGGAAAAATCAAAACATCAATTAATTGAAAAATTGAAAAATCGAGAGTTTATAAAAGTCAAAAATTGAAAAATCGTAATATTTAAAAATCGTAAAATTGAGAAATTGTAAAATCCAAAAATTGAATAATAACTAAACTGAAAAATCCCCAAACTGAAATTCCGAAAAACTGGGAATTTGAAACAGTAAGAAATCGAAAAGTCGAAAAACCCAAAAATCTCAATGTCGAGGATAAAAATTCAACGCGGATTCTTAAACCACAAGTTCAAGACTTTTAAACATTTAAATTAGTTGTCAAGTTATTTTATTATAAAATGCATGTACATACCTGAATAATTTGTTTTCCTGTAGAAATAATAGCCGAAACCGGTTAGGATGTGTATTACATCACGGATCACGACTTATAGATCAAATCGTTTCTGAACGCTTAGAGTCGACATTGGCCTGAGTGCGCTATGGTCTGTAGATCAAACAAGTTCTCAGACGACGTTATACTAAAGCATCGTAGATAAAAGGATATCTATCTATGAAAAGATTATTGTTAAAATGTTGATTTTAGATTAACCACCTGAATGACACTCATAAGCAGCTAGTGGTACACTGGGTGGGCAATGGAACTAACGTCATCATTTGTCTAGCACGTGACCCCAACACCACCCAGGACCCAGAACCTTCATCTCTTTTTATTTCATACGACGATGGCGACACCTACGAAAACAAAACTAATCTTTTCAAAGTATCAAATGAATCAGATCAGACCTACGCTACTTTGGAGAAGTTCTACATACACCCGACGTACGACACTCACGTGAGCACCACCAATGTCAGAGGGCGCTCACTCCACTATACTTCTTTTGCTTCCAGCTGGTGTTTACAGATATTAAAAACAAATTACTCTTCGTTACGACAAACCACGGCCAAGACATTAAAAAAATCACGTTGGATTTTAGTCCTATCCAAGTTTCGTTCCACGAACTTGAACCATCAGTGTTCATTGTTTTGGATCAGCTACACAGATTGTGGGTGACCGAAGATTTTGGAAATACTTTCAGACAAATGCAGGACTCGGTCAGGAGTTTTCACTGGGTGAAGGAAAGCGATTTCCTTTATAGTCTGGTCGTGCAAAGGATGGAAACTGATGGTTATAACACCATCTTGTATTCGAACGATTTATTTTTAAATGGATCGGGCACGGTTCGGGCTACAAATATCTCAGATTTTTGTGTCAAAGACGACTACCTTTTCACCAC